GTGCGGAACCTTGGCATCATTTTCCTAGACAATAATCTTTGCCTAATATATCCATCTCTCGATTCGTATCCCGTCACTTCAGTGCAAGCTTCAGTCATCACTTTTATGCCTCTCTCGACCGCCTGAGTGCTGTTTGGCCACTTGGGCACAACTAATGGTGTCTCAAGAATGTCATTAACCTGTAGATTTGACAGAGAAGCAATGTAAGGAGGCTCAGTCTTGAGTTCATTCCTCCAGTTAATCATGGAATGATAGTTTTTTGCTTGCCACTTTAGTTTCGGAGTCACCACCTTTCTCATGTTGACTACAGGAGGCACATCCTCATTCCCATCTCCATCTTTACCCTCCTCATCAGTATAGTTTAACAAATTCTCGTCAACAGCAGCATCAGAATATTCCTCCTCCTCTTCAGATCTGCCAGTGCATTCTTCCTTTTGCTGATTCTCCTCTCTAATTTTTCTTATCATTGAGACAGCTTTTTCTCTAACAGTCATGTCCTCATCTGCACACATACCAAGAAGAAGTTGATCTGTGTGGGCGAAGTATGCATTTCTCTGGACAGCCTTCTTCACTATCGTCTCCTCCTCACTATTCAGGTGTTTCATATATAGCAGGGACTGGAATACGTTCCTTGAGCCGTGTGTTACGTAAGGGTGTATCTTGATGTAAAACCACATTGGAGCACTGAACTTTATTATTGTAATGACAATTCTTTTCAACTCATGGCTGGGTCTTGATGTTGCTACATACAGCCTGAGGATTCTACTCCATAAGGTGTTCCACCTTGACACACAGGGAGGACCTGGCTCAATAGCAGCCAAGTCATCTTCAACAACACCTGTGATAACTCCTTTACAAATCCTATACAGGTATTTCTGATCCCAGGACAGATCTTTCTCCACTTCATCATTAAACACAGGGAAATCAGGGAAACTGACTGGCTGGAAGGCGACAACTGGAAGCTCAGACAAAGACTCCTTGATCTGCTTTCCAATGGGACCACGCCAATGCTCAGGACCACTTGGTTTACCATCATAGTGATAAAAAACTGCGCGGAAAGGCAGCTCATTTCCGTGAAGCTGACATATGAAATAATGGAGCGGGTGACCAAGTAACATTTCAAGATGATGAATGACTCCATTTTCTGATCCTACATTTACATTGGTTCCATCACAACCAACACACACAATGGGCTGCTGGGTTAGATTTTTCTCCACCAGAAACTCGTGAATAGTTTTGGCAATCTGCTTTCCGTGTCCAGTCTTGGGAGTCACATGTGTGAGATATTCATTGCCAGGCTCAACCATGATGACATAATGATCTTTCACCATCATCCTCGAACTCCATTTCTCGGTCTTCTCATTCTTTATCATCACACGAGTGGCGGTCTTCTTACCATCAAAATAGAGTGACGTCAAATTATCTAAACTAGCCATCTCAATTTCTTGCCTCTTAAATCGGTATTTTTGTCTCGCATCCCGCAGCTTATGTGGTCCAATAACCTGACTCTTGTCATCCTTTGTGATAATGCCATAGTCAGTTAAGGTGGCAGTAGCAATGGCAGCTCCAGCATAATCACTAATCAAGTATCGGTCACAAGCGGCAACTTACCCAGGTCTCCCCTACATTACAGTACAGTAACACAACATTGAGAAATGAAATGAGAAAAGGCTGATTATCAATATAGACATAGCACCATACTCATCTGCAACAAGACAACTTAAATGAAATAAGAGATATGAAAAAAAAGTTGATAAACACTGAACAGAACATTGCACCGCCACAGCGGCTGTTTGGCTAGTACTGTAGGTAAATTTAAAAATTTCAGTAGAAAATGCGGCAGACTAAACCTCGACATATCAGCTTCAAATTTGGCATGGACTCTTAGATATGTATAAGGAACAATGCCTGAAGAGTGCAGCTTTGAGCAAAATTTCACTGCCCCCTAAGTACAGTGTTCATGTCAAAATGAACTACAGGTATTTCATTTCTATAAAATATGTATTGTATTGTTATAACATTTATAAGTTTTTGTAAGTCCCAGAAGGGGATGCAAAGGTGAGGGTGGGGGTAGTATACTACCCTGTACTTTTGATGTAATAGTTTTATGGTCAATAAAGTATTTCAATCAGGTAGTAGGTAGTAGGCAGCTATCAAACAGGGAGGTACTACCGCCTGGGAAGATATTGGAAGCATAATGTGTTGTCTAATGGTAGACCCTGCTGCCATATGGCATCACAAAAATTGTGACCAAGTCCCAGGTTGCTGATCTGACTTTATGCCTCATTTACACACAATTGCAGGGTCTCAATTGTTTCTCTCACTTTGACAGTCAGTCTGTCAGAACACCGAGATAAGAGAGCCGTGGATCTGAGGTGAACAAAGAGATTTAGGGCAAAGTATAGTTAAGAAGTGGGAAGTTCAGAAGAAGAATGATAGCAGGTGGGCTTTCCACCCTGCGGAGGCTGGTTTGTGGCTTAACCATTGACAGTCGTCCGTCAGTCCTCCAGGGGCAAGGGAGGTTAGATAAGCTAACCTAAGCTGGTTTAAAGTGCAATCCAAGGGAATGTGTTGTTTTAGGGTTTGTTGGAGGGTCCCTTCAGGTCCTTGTGTTGCTGAAGGGATGTTCCTCATCTTTAGTGATTTGGGGTTCCCACCAGGTCCTTGTGTGAACTGGCTGGATAGTCCCCATCTTTTCTGTTATATGAGTGGTGTTATTCTCTCGCGTATAATGGTTCCGGGCTGATTGTGTTAATGTTGATGCTTCTTGGCCACCAGCTGTGTGATATATTGTTGTTTGCCTGTAATAGTCCCATACCTCTTTTGCTTGTTTGTGTGTTCTTATGTTAATTGTGTCTATGTTATGTTCGATGTGTATGTCTCATATTTTTTTACTGTGCGGCGGCCTATGTTTTGCTGCTCTTCTTAGTGCTGTATTTTGGACTGCTTGCAACTTGAGTTTGTTTGTTTTAGTTATTGTGTAAAGTGGAATTGGTGGGTATTCACGGTGTGGTCTGACGAGTGATTCGTATAGATGTAGCTGTGTTTTGGTGTTTAGTTTTCTAAAGCGACCGAGTTTGGTTAGTTGTAATTTGGCTTTCGTCAATCTTTCTCTAATGTGTTGGTGTATACCGTTTCTGGTGATTTTGAGTCCCAGTGTTTTTCCACTTTCTGCATATGGTAACTGTTGATTGTTGATTATGATTGGGTATGGATATATTTTTGCAATGTATATGATCTTTAGTTTTGGGATGTTGGTTTGGATTTTCCATTTTCTCTCATAGTTGTTAATTTGTTTAGATCTCCTTGGATATTGTATTATTTGCGTGATGTCGTCAGAGTATGCAATGTAGTCCGATTTTCTTGGGTCTGGTATGTCTGCTGTGTATATTGTGTACAGTGTGAGTGGAATGCTGCTGCCCTGTGGGTCTCCACTGTGTATGCTGAAGGTTTGTCCAGTGTAGTTGTCTACAATGAGTTTGGCTTGTCTGTTGTCTAAGAAGTTGCAGAGAAGGGTTGTCATGTTTTTTGGCATGTCAAGTTGAATTATTTTATATTTGAGGCCTTCGTGCCACACTTTATCGAAAGCTTTTGATATATCTCTGAGAACGACATTGCACTGGTTTTTATTGCTGAGGGCGTTAGCTATTGTTTCGTAAATTAGTGCAATAGCCGTGTTTGTGCCTCTGTTCTTCTGGAATCCATATTATCTGGGGTTATATTTGTTTTCCTATTCTAGATAGTTTATGAGTCTGTTGTTGACTATTTTTTCAAGTATTTTGCCTGGTGTTTCTAATAGGGATATAGGTCTGTAATTTTCAGGCCTTGTTGGGTATATTCCGGGTTTGGGTATGAGTCTAATTTTGGCTGTTTTGAATCTCGTGGGGAAGTGTCCTGTTGCTAGTGAGGCGTTAAAGATCTCTGTAAGTTGTTTTATCAGTGTTGTGGGTAGGTTTTGAAGGACGGTTTTGTTTATCTGACTTAGTCCTGGTGCTTTACTTTTAAAACTGGTTATTACGTTTGTTATGTCTTTTGTGGTGATTGGCGTGGTTAATGTGTCTGCACTGTTTAGTATGATGAGGTCTATTGTTCTTAGTGGTTGCCATTTCTCTGTGTTTACACAACATACATACTGTATATCGTTCCTCACTTATGGTTCTTTATTATTATTATTATTATTATTATTATTATTATTATGTTTTTTTTTTTTAATTTATTAAGATTTATTATTATTATTATAAAATTTTCTCCGTTAATCCCAATTAACTCCATTTTATATCATGTGGTATAATAAAGAGGTTTCGTAAGCTTGCTTCATAATACATTTAATTATTTACAGCACCTAATGTGAAAGTGAATTGCTTACAAAAAGTAGTCAATTATATTGTTCTTCCTCTTTTTTGAGGTTATATTTCGTACAATTATGTTACTTTAAATCAAATATACATTATATTACTGAGGAGTTACGAGAATCTCGCTTCATCTCATAATACTGTATGTGAAATTGATATACTGCAACCCATTTCCAACAGTGGAAGACATTTCTTATGTGGGTAATACAACGTAGAATATAATAATATAGTGTCTTTCGTTAAAGTCTTCTATGTAGTCCTGTAAATTTTTATTTTAACTATATGTGATATATAGGATATATCATATTTGCTAAATAGCGTATCACATAGTACAGTAATGTCAACCCTACAGAAACTACAGGAGTCAAAGTGTTCATTTCGAAACGAATACAGTTAAGGTAAGAATCGTATTGTAAATTTACTATAGATGGTGTTCTGGATGTTACCGTCGTGAAGTTGCTGAAGTGAGTTAAGTGTGTTCTTATGTCTCCTTTTATGAGAAAAATTTAGATTATTAAACTGATAAGTGTTGAAATAAGAAATAAATAAAGACACGAATATGAGAATCCTGCAGCATCTTCACCGCATCCCGAACAAGACTTTCCAGAGAGAATAAGCACACATGACTGGGGTGGAGTAGGAAACTAGTTTTGCAAATTATACAACATTTATTTCCTGAAAACTTTACAAAAGAAATGGCCAACCCAAGCGTATGGACCCATATCTAAAAAAAAAAATATATATTCTGAAAGCTCAAAACACTACCTTGAGAACTATCGTGATAACAGTCGTAGCCTAAGGAGTGTAAGTCCTGAGAATCATCTTCCAGAAATAAACAGTAAAACAATAATGTGTACAAAGGTATACACAAGTTGGATGAAGATATGAGGAAGGACGCTGGTCACTAGGCTAACACATCATAGCTTTAAAAGAGCCCAATTACCGCAGTCTTCATCTCTGTCCCGAGTGTCGCTTGTATGTATCCGTGTTATGTACTCCTATGTTGTCTTGCTTCGGTAACTCACCTGCTCACAGAAGAAGATGATTTAAATACTGCAAAGTAATCTCCTCCAACCATGCTATGACACCCTCAGGGGTGTACGGTAGTGCCAGGACACTCGTGGAAGCCCAGCAGTGTCTGCACACTCTTATAAGCCACAACAGCGCTTGGGCATTCGTAGAAGTCTACAGCAGTGCCTGGACACACTTGGATACCCGCAGCTCTTCTTTGATACACTTGGAAGCCCACAGCAGTGACAAGATACCCAGGTGCCGTACTCGCATCAGAACCAAGACAATCAGGTGCTGTGCCTACAGCAGTGCCAAGACACTAAAATGCCGTGCGCAGAGCAGTGCCAGGACACAGCAGCGTCAAATCACATCTCACACTAAAGATAGCGAGCAAATTCCACTGGCCATTAAGGCCTTGTTTCACCACCTGAAGCCTCTTACTTCTGCCAGGCAGCTCCTCTTCGCCAAATGCCGGCCATTCAATGCAGGACTCACATGGGTCACCAGTGGCGATTCACATGGGTCACCAGTGGCGATCATAGGGTGCTCTTCGAAGCCGTGAAGGTGGAGCTAAGGCGGGACGCTATTGGACGGTAAGTTCAAATGTGGTTTGATTTCATTTGATGTGGGCTGTGTTGTTCAAGTGAGGGGGTTGTCTCGGGCGAAGTAAGAAGGGGGAGCCTCAATAACCGAGAGCTGTACTGATGAGGAACTACGAACATACGACTGATCTATGGCTGATAGATTGCCATGAGATAAATACTCTACGGATGGAAAGACTGTGCTTGACGAGTTATCTTGGACGGAGGATGCGGTTGTGCTGGCCGCGACTGCTTCACCGTAAGAAGGCAGGGTTGAATCTTGACTATTGTTGTAACCCCGATCGTCTGTCTGATAACTTCCAGTAGGACCGTAGGACTCCTCCTGGATGAAATCATATGGCGGCGGAGGAAGGTGTGCTTGTGGATGAGGGGAAGTAATGAGTGAGGAGGTCTGGACAGCGCTGGGAGTCTTGGTGATCCTAACAACGGCTAGGCTCGGGGCAGGTGGTGTTTCATCACTCTGTAAGAAGATAGAATCTAGTGAGATGGCTAACAACGAAATTCTGGGTGATGACATTTTGTAAAAGAAAAATAAATATAGATATAAAATGTTGTTTTAAGGTTATACAGTAAGTGTTCTGACAAGCACTTATAGAAAATATTTCCATGTTACGCACGCGCATACACAACTTTGTCATTTCATTAAATTCAAGCTGATCTGAAACTTAAGAGGAGTAAAACTTTATCCAGTATCCCTAGACACCATGGTTTCTTCACGTTTGAGGTCGAAGGTTACATGATGTTTGGCGGTGACCGAAAAAGCAAAGTATAATATGATTTGTTTAACAAATAAAAAATACAGGGAGAGATTAGGCAAATGACATGTCAAAATATATTCATCGAGGCGTCCTCATGTCAATATGGTAATCAAAAATATTTACTAAAATGTCTCACGGATTTGCTTTCCCCTTTCTATTGCTTACACCAGAGCGTTAGTCAAAGTTCTACGGTACTTAGTTTGTTAATAGACGTAGGCTAGAACCCCGTGTGTCACAAAATTTCTTACGTCGAGTATTCCATGTAATTAAAGATGTACAAGAACACAATTTAACTGGTCGACTTTAGCCAATGTAGTGAAATAACGTCCAACAAAAAACCTTAAAATTAGTTAGACTTCACGGCCACTTACCACACCCCAGTTAAGACAAAAACATTTTAGGAGTACTGGATCAAAGTCTATATTCCTTTGTGTGAAAATAATGGATACTGAACTGGGCGGGTTAAAGGCACTGCTACATGTATTCAGTAACCTGTATTTGTACCTTACAGCTTGACCTGTTGTTCGCTGCAAACAGATTATTATTATTATTATTACTGTATTATTATCCCAACTGTGTATCAGAGAAATGTTTTCGGTCCTGTCTGTTCTCAGAATAATTCAAGAACAGTTACGCGGATTTGCGCTGAGTAAGGTTGATGAACATATGACAAGGTCTCCATGGTAAACTTTTGGTATACATAGCACTAAACTGACCAAGTGTTGCCATAGTTATTGTTCGCACACGTTGCAGTAGGGTAGTTTGGTGGTTAAAGAAAGGCCGAGGTAAATCATAAGGACAATCTCATCATGTTGTCTCACCCAATGGCCGATAATTGAGTGATTCTCTAGAACCCTAACCTAACCTAACCTTACTTCGAGCGAGAGACAACTTGACTGGCTACGGTGTTAAAAGAAAATGATGGTATGAAACTGCCTCCAGTAATGTCAACACTATGTAATGAGAATGTACACGTCAAAGCAATCACCGAAACCTGGATGAATCTGGCGTGCAAGAACTTTTTATCTGAGTATCACATAGAAGGGTACAACCTTTTTCACAAGGGCAGGGAAGGTAGGAAGGGGGGAGGGGTCGCACTCTTCGTCAGGAATACATTAGAATGTTGCATTAATAATACAATAAAGGGTGAAATAGGAACTGAGTCTGTATGGGTAGAAATTGCAGAAGGAAGAAAAAACTAGGGAAAGAAACAGCTCAGCCCATATGGCAGGAAAAGAGTAGGGTAGCAAGATACAAAAACCTATGTGCATTATGGGGGATTTGAACTTCAGAAATATTGACTGGGACAACATTATAGGTGACTTAAACTATGAATCTGAAGACTTCCTCAACGCAGTACAGGAAAAAAAATAAAACAACTAATTACAGAACCTACTAGAGATGACACTATATTAGACCTAGTATTAACAAATAAAGAAAATATTATCAGAGATATCACAGTAGGGGAAGAACTAGGGAACAGTGATCACAGAGAAGTCAGGTTTACCCTAAATTGGGAAACGAAAAATAATGACAATATGGTCAGAGTCCCAAACTTTCGATCGGCAGATTATGAGGGGTAAAGAAGGTACCTAGGTGAGGTCATCTGGGAACGGTCGGGTCAGTCTCCGTTGCAACAGTTCACAACTGATGATTATAATAAATTCACTAGTATACTACATAAAGCACAGGAACAAAATATGCCATACAGAAAAATTAGGTCAAATACGAATGAGCCAAGGTGGATGAACAAAAACTTAAACATGACATAGGAATAAAGGAAGGAATTCATAAGAAATTAAAGGGAGGGGAGGAGCATCACAGAGATAGGTATAATGAACTATCTAGGAATGTTAAGAAAAATATAAGGAAGGCAAAGAAGGACTATGAAATCAGGATAGCAAGAGAATCCAAGGAGAATCCTAAGGGATTTTTCCAGGTATATAGGACAAAGGTCAAGGAAAAAGTGGAGCCTTTAAGTCAGAGAGAGGGGAAGTGATCGATGATAGGAAATAAGCAAAGCATTAAATAGCTACTTCTTATCAGTTTTCACAGAAGAAATTCATGAGGAAACACCAGAGGTGGAACTGACATTTAAGGGAAATGAAGAAGAGAAACTAAAGGATATCACTATCAGAAAAGAGGATGTACTTAAGAAGATAAATAAATTAAAGAATACAAACTCCCCAGGGCCGGATGAAAATTTTCCTCGAGTTTTGAAAGAGTGATTAGCGGACCCCTCATAAATTTATTTACAAAATCATTAGACACGGAAGTTGTGCCAGACTTGTGGAGCCAGGCAAATGTAGTACCCATATTAAAAAAGGGAGACAGAGCATCAGCAAATTACCGGCCGATTAGTTTGACGTCTGTAGTGGGGAAATTTCTTGAATCAATTACTGTATATCAAATAGCATCCGAACGCATTTAGAGAAAAACAAAATAATCTACGACTCTTATCATGGATTTACAAAGGGAAAATCTTGTCAAACAAATCTGCTGACATTTTTTAGGAAACTCTATGAAGTAGTCGATAATGACGAAAATTACGTTGTTATTTGCTTAGACTTTAGCAAAGCATTTGACAGAGTACAGCATCAGAGGCTTCTGAGAAACGTTAAGGCTCATGGTATCGAGGGGAAAGTTTTAAATTGGATAAAATCATGGCTCACCGATAGCACACAGAGGGTCAGCCTAGATGGTTTTCAATCTGAGTGGGGCTGTGTAACTAGTGGGGTTCCCCAGTGGTCAGTACTGGACCCACTCTTGTTCATAATCTACATAAATGATCTAGATACTGGGATCAGCAGTGACATAAGCAAGTTTGTGGATAACACCTAAATAGGGCGGTAGATAAATTCAGGGCTGGATGCAAATGCACTACAGGAGGATTTAAATAAACTGCAGGAGTGGTCAGAAAAATGGCAAATGAAATTCAACACCAGCAAGTGCAGCATACTTAATATTGGAAGAACAAATACTGTCAATGTATACAGCCTTAACAACATCAAACTAGAGAAGTCGACTTGTGAAAGAGACCTAGGGTTACTGGTAAGCCCAGACCTTCGGCTAGAAAACAGTGTGCTAATGGGGGACCGGTGGTAGAAGTGGTACCGTTCTTGCCTCGCTAGCGAGATGTCAAGGGTTCGATTCCCGGGCCGGTTGAAGTTATTTGGACTTACTTCCTAGCCCCCATTAGCCCCTGTTCACCTAGCAGTAAAGTAGGTACCTGTTGTAAGTCGAAAGTTGCGAATTCCTATTCAGGGAGTTGTTGGAGCTTCCAATAACTTGTTGACATAAAATCACTGACTCTTCAGGCTTCTACGCCCTTAACTCGTGAGACATAAAGGCAAACATGAACTTAGCATGCTTCCCTGTTGGGCGCTGTAAACGCTTCTGCGCTTCACCTTACACAAGGATGTAGGGGGTGCCCAATAAAAAAAAGAAAAAAAAAAAAGTGTGCTAATGTTCGAAATAAGGCAAACAGTGTATTAGGTTTTATAAGAACATAAGAACATAAGAATGGAGGAAACTGCAGCGGGCCTATTGGCCCATACTGGGCAGTCCCGTTTACACCCAACCCCTATTGCTCATATAAGCATCCAACCTATGTTTGAAGCTATTCAGTGTATTGGAGTTAATGATGATATTTGGTAACTTGTTCCATTCATCCACTACTCTGTTTCCAAACCAGTGTTTACCTATTTCACGCCTAAATCTAAATTTGTCTAATTTAAAACCATTGTTACGAGTTCGCTCCTGGTTGGATAATTTGAGTACCTTTGTAATGTCCCCTTTGTTTAGCCCTGACTTCCACTTATACACCTCTATCAGGTCGCCCCTCGCTCTACGTCTCTCGAGGGAGTGCAAATTAAGATGCTTTAACCTGTCTCTATACTCAAGGTTCCTAATGCCCGGGATTAGTCTTGTCATTCTCCTCTGAATTCTTTCCAATGATTCTATATCCATTCTGTAATACGGTGACCAGAACTGAACTGCGTAATCCAGGTGTGGTCTCACAAGAGCAAGGTACAGTTTTAGGATGACCTCGCTAGTCTTGTAACTAACACTCCTTTGTATGAACCCAAGTACTTTATTAGCCTTGTTACGAGCAAAAACACATTGTTTACTTGGCTTAAGGTTCCTACTTATCATTACTCCTAAATCTCTCTCGCAGTCGGATTTCTCTATGGCATCGTTGTTCATCTGGTATCTGGTTTCCCTGTTTACATCTCCTATACTGAGTACTTTACATTTGTCCAAGTTGAATTTCATCTGCCATTTTTCAGACCATTCGAAAAATTTGTTTAGATCTTCCTGTAGTTTTGCTGAGTCCTCGTCAGATTTAATAATATGTCCTATTTTAGTGTCAACAGCAAATTTACTTATGTTGCTGTCTATGCCGATACCTATGTCGTTTATGTATATAATAAATAATAGTGGTCCAAGTACTGAGCCTTGGGGAACTCCACTTGGTAACGTTGCTCCAATGGGACTTAGTGCCGTTAATGCTCACTCGCTGTTTCCTGTCCTGTAACCACGCCCTAATCCATTTAAGGATGTTACCTTTGATGCCATGAGCTTCTACCTTTCCAATTAGTCTTTCGTGGGGGACTCTGTCGAAGGCTTTGCTAAAGTCGAGATATACCACATCATGATTGTGCCCCTCGTCCACCGATTCGAAAACTGATGAAAAGAATGTTAATAGATTAGTTAGACAAGAACGTCCACTTGTGAAGCCATGCTGGGAATCATTGATCAATCGGTGCTTCTCCAGGTGATTTCGAATAGAGTTTGAAATGATTGCTTTCAGTAATTTGCCTACTATTGATTGGGCGGTAGTTAGAGGATAGTGATCTATCCCCCTTCTTGAAAATCGGTATTACATTAGCTATCTTCCAGGATTCTGGTACTACACCTGTTTTTAAGGACATGTTAAACAACTTTGCTAAGGGCATACTAAGCTCTTCCTTACATTCCTTTAATACTCTGGCAAATATCTCATCGGGACCAGGTGACTTATTAGGCTTTAGTTTGTCTATTTGCTTACTAACATCGTTACTAGTCACTACTACCTCGCTTAATTTGTTTTCTTCACTATCTCTGAATAGAGTCGGTGCCTCGGGTATCATGTTTAAATTTTCGGTGGTGAAAACTGTTGAAAAATATTTATTCAAATTATTGCTCATTTCTCTGTCGTTATCAGTGAGCTCGCCGGTATCTGACCGTATTGGTTCAATCTTTTCTCGTGTTTTAGTTTGATACATTTGGTAGAATCCTTTGGGGTTTGTCTTCGCCTCCCTTGCTATCCTTACCTCATTATTCCTCTTGGCTTTCCTTATCTCGGTTTTAACCCTACTCGTCAATATCTTATAATAATCCTGGAGGTAAATTTCGCCCCGCTTTATCCTTCTACCTATAGCCTTCCTTTGGCCAATGATGTTCTTTAAATAATTATTTATCCATTTAGGGTCATTGTCGTCTGATCTGAGTTTTTTGTATGGTATGTTCTGCCTCTGTGCATTAAGTAACTCATTATTTAAATTGACGTGGAACTCGGCAATCTCAGATGTCGTTATCAGGTCGGAGTCATCTGTCAGGTTCACGGCCAAGCGCGACACCCCCTCTCTCAGCTGCCTCTTTAAACTGTCAAAGTTTGCCCATCTGAAATCTGGTACCTTAGTGGAATTTTCCTTACGTCTGCCCTGAAAATCTAACTGGAATCGAATTTCTTTGTGATCGCTGTTTGCAAGTTCGTTCCCTACCTCGACATTGCTGATGAGGTTTTCTCTGTTCGACAGAACTAAATCGAGTATATTATTACCCCGTGTGGGTTCGGTTATATGTTGACTTAGGAAACAGTCCTGGATCGTCTCGAGAAAATCCTCTGATTCTGAGTTACCCGTAAGGTCAGTCCAATCTATTTGGCCAAGGTTAAAGTCGCCTACTATACAGACTTTGTTGTGTATGGAAGCCCTGCACATTTCATCGCAGATAAGTCTCTCATTGACTCTATCTATCTAGAAGTGTAAGTAATGAGAGTGCGGAGGCCATATTGCAACCTTGCGCTAGTCAGGCCGCACCTCGATTATGTTGTTCAGTTCTGGTGCCCTTATTATAGAATGGATATGAATTCACTGGAGTCGGTGCAGCGAAGAATGACGAAAATGATTCCGGGACTTAGAAACCTTCCCTATCAAGATGGATTGAAGAAACTAAACTTGAATTAACTAGAAAAGTGAAGAGTGCAGGGATATATGATAGAAGTATTGTGGGTGAAACGAATCAATAAAGGAGAAAGGAGATTTTTTTTTACGGGTATCGCCCACCCGGACACAGGTCACTGACCCACATCGGGGCCTAAAGGGCGAAAATGTAATAATAATAATAATAATAATAATAATAATAATAATAATAATAATAATAATAATAATAATAATAATAATTCATAGTAAATTAAATTTATAATAAAATATATATAATTGAAAATAAAATAAATTAATAATGATATTGATAATAATAATAATAACAAGAATAATAATAATAACACTGTAATAATAATAATAATAATAATAGTAATAATAATAATAATAATAATAATAATAATAATAATAATAATAATAATAAATAAATAAAAAAAATAAAAAGTGAGAAACAATAAATGTATGTTGTGTTGTCAATAGTAAGAGAAACAACTGAGACCCTACAATTGTGTGTAAATGAGACAGAAAGTTAGATGAGCAACCTGGGACATGGTCAAAATTTTCGTGATGCCATATGGCAGCAGGGTCTACCATTAGACAATGCATTATGCTTCCAATATCTTCCCAGGCGGTAGTACCTCCCTGTTTGGTAGCTGCATACTACCTACTACCTAAAGATAAAGTTCTTATAATATCCGAGCAGGATAGGACACGTAGCACCGGATTTAAGTTGGATAAGTGTAGGTTTGGGAGGGAGATAGGAAGAAACTGGTTCACAAATAGGGCGGTAGATGAGTGGAACAAGCTTGGCAACTTTGTAGTAAGTGCTGGGACGCTGGAAAGTTTTAAAAGGAGGCGAGATAGATTCAAGGACGATAGAGGGTGGTTGTAACTCCCAACAGGAGCTGCCATGCACAAGCCAACCTGCCTATTGCGGATTCCTCATTTTCTTATGTAACGGCATCATTATTTGAGTATACTTAACCTGCCATGGTACCGGTTCGCGGGCAGGGTTTGCATACGTTCGGATGATTAATATAATTTTTTGCAAAATATCAATTATCATAATCATAATGATATATACATTATTTACTCTAAATATTAACGTACAATTAGCTGTTATTTTACAAAAGTTCTAAGTTATGATACCATTTAATTTGAACTCAATACCAAACTCAATTACGTTATATTATTTTTTCATATCTTCTAAGCTGACACGACAATTGGTTTCGTATTTATTCAGTTTCGAATTTTGTCTCATATTTATATTGATTTCATAGCTTTTGAGTAGCTTTTTTCCCTTAATTCAATGGATCGTTTATCAACGCTGTCAATACAGCCGCAATAGTTTTTGTTCTGTTTCACATTTCAGTTAGATTACGAACTTCAACTAGGCCAATGGTTCTTAAACTGGGGGGCGCGCCCCCTTTGATCCCAAGGGGGCACGAGCGGTCAGAGAGAAAAGTCTGGTCAGGAACTGAACGCGTCTTGTACACGATTGCTCATCCCACCCACTCTATAATAACCAAGGGTGGGGGGTGGAGTGGGATCTAGGACTTATGCAGAGGGGGGACTTACCTGTTGTTGTTCAACGTCATTTTTCGATCGCTGACACCTTCTGGCGATGAGGTGGACGAAGACGGCGGCGCAAAGATAGACAGTGACAGCTAGAGTCAGGACTGCTAGACCAAGCGAGCCGGACTTTAACCCAGCTCCCAGACCCACACCACACGGCACCAACAACCCCACTATCATCATCACCTGCATCAACGGTGATGGACTCTTCAGCCTCTCATTCACAGGTGAGGATGTTTCTGACATGTTACCGCAAACTGTTAGATACTTGAATGAGAGAGCCTTGGCCCACACCGGCTTTATAACAACTGCTTCTGGTGTGAGGGTGTGTCCTGCCGTGGTGCAACTCTGAATATTTTTTCTCACTCTGAACACACACGAAGTAACTTTCTAGACGTTAACAAGTTAAATTATTTAAAAAATGTGTCGGCCAACTAAACTATAAATATATAGTGTTTTTATCTGTTGATTAAAGTTACATTGACATATAACTCAAAGCAAGACAGTCGTAAGGGATTGTATTCATGTCTGAAGATTAGTGAGTCATGAACGAAAGTCAAGCAACATTGTGGCGGTCTGGTGAGAGGCATCTTCTCCAAACAGCCAGCGACTATTTCCAAGAACCCGTGTTTTAATAATGATTGTCGCCAGCCTCTCTGTTTCTAGATTAAGTGTACAGTTCCTGATAACAATGACAAACCATATCTTGGTGATATTTAGCAGAAAAATCGCATTTGTAAAAACGGAAGAAAATATCAACCAATACCGGTATTTCCCATCAGACATTACCACAGGACACACAAGCAACGTAATCTTTTCTTAGAGGTCCTGGCAGATCGTCTAAGAAAAGATTACGTTAATTTACGATATTTAAGGTTAAGTTGTGATGCTCTATTAGGTTTAATTACTTTGGATCAGTTAGGTTAAGACTCTAAGGTTAGTTTTGATTGGAGTAAGAGTGAGTGTTAAAATAAAATTATTTAGGTTTGGTTCGGTTAGTGTTAAATGAGGCACAGTTAGGTTAGGTTCGGTTAGGTTACCTATCCATCATCTCCAGCCACCAACTGCCTCCACCTACCTACCACCTCTCACCTATAGCCTCCACCCAGCCACCAATTCTACCCACCTATTACTTCCATCCACCTATACAACCTCTCACATACGGTTTCCACCTAGCCACCACGTAACTCTACCCACGTACCATCTCCATCAACCCATCACCTCCAATAAGTTACTACCTCCAGTCATTTACCACCTATACCCACCCACCACCTTCACCCACTTGCCACTTCTATCCACCTACTACCTCCACCCACCCACCAACCACCTTTACCAATCAACCACCTCCATCCACATACCACTTCTACCCACCTACCACCTCCACCCACTTCAAACTTATACCTTCATATCAACTTCACCTATCCACCCACTTATCCACCTCCACCCACCTATCATCTCCACCTACTTACTATCTCCGCTCATTTATCACTTCTACCCACCTACCATCTCCACCCTCTCACCCACCACCCCTACCCACACGAACACACCCATCCACTTACAACCCCTATCCACCTACCAACTCCACCTCTCCACTACCTCCACCCACCTATCACCCACACGCACTTATCCACATTCACCCACCTACCACATCCACCAACCCACCACCGTTACCCACCCACCTGCCACCTCTATCTACTCTCCACCTCCACCTACTTAACACTTTTACCAACCAACCCACTACTTCCACCCAATCAGCCACCACCTTCCCCCAGCCCTTACCTCCATCCACCTACCAACCTACCATCTCCTCCCGCCCACCACCTCCTCCACCCACCCACCAACTCCACACCTCCTCTCACGTACCCACCACCTCCACCCACCTACCACCCCCACCTTTCCCCACCAACCCACTCGGAAAGCACATTACACCACTGTTAGCAACAACCGGTATTTCCTCACCACCACCCACAACACTCCCTCAAACGACAACGTGCATAATTCATCTTAACACTGCACGTATACGATCCTTATGACGTTCACAATCTGATCATTATTCGTGGGAACCCAGGTACAGGTATTTTGGAATTTTCCTGCTGACGTCCGTCGCTGGCTTCATGGTGCAACAGTAAAAGGAGATGCAGTTGATTGTTTTTGAATGTCAGTATACAACAAATTTATATATGGATCACTTATGGAGTAGTTCCTATGTCGTGAAGTAACCAATAGATAGTGTCTTTAACTTACATTTGTAGAGAAATTACCTAAAAACATTATCGTCCGCGGCAGCAGTGTTCCCTGAGGCCAGATGCACGATGATTAAGTGTCTGGTGATCTGTGTACAGTTCAGTACCTGCAGCGTGTTAAAAAGTGGTGTACCGTATGCTTCTCTTATTTCGATGTGTACCAAGTTGTGTGTAATGGAAATAGGTGATAGATAAATCAGTAACATGTCATGATCACTAGATCACTGCACTAGAATCAAGTGTAGATATTTAATAGATTATCTAATTGTGATAATACTATAGATATATTTATATTCCTCATCAAAAAATTCCGGACTGCATATTCTTAGAGCACGTAAAAACATTGATGAAATACTGACTGTTTGACTGTATTATAGTGGACAGTCCGGAAGTCATTGATGAGGAATATAAATATATCTATAATATTGGCTTGAACCTTAAGTACCCTAGGTCTTTTATAGACAAATGCCTTAACATTACTAAGAAACCTTTTTATAGAACTGATCCTAAGCCCACCCATGACAATAAGAATATCATAGAATTACCATTTAACAAAAATTTCTCTCAAATTCCTATACAACTGAAAACCTGGAACGTTAATGTGACATTTAAAAACTCATGCACTGTAAAACAAATGTTAATTAAGAACCCCCCCAACAATGCAGGCGGCTGCATTTACAAGGTTCCTTGCAAGGAAAGTAATATGTTCTACTTAGGTCAGACGGGTAAAGATCTTATAACTAGACTTAAACAACATAAATATATTGTTAGAACAGGCCAGGAATCCAATGCTCTGGTCATTCATATAATAATGCTTCCTCAATATTACCTTGTAATTCAATTGTCAGTAGGAACATTATAGAATCCAGTTTCATTAAACATACCGAATCTGTCAACATGAATTTGAGTAATGGTATGTACAAACTGAATAATTTTGTGATTAAGAAGATTTGTAACCAGGTGAGAAGGTTGAGTCATCTTACCCTATGACCTGACTACGAACAGCTGCCGTGCTTAGGATGGCATGGTCAATTTTTTTTTATTAAGATTAGTAAGGGTCACTGCCTTATGACCGGAGCATTGTGGACCCCTGCTGTCCCCAAGGGACCTGATCTCACTCTCCTCCACTGTATATATTAGCCTATTCAAGTATTTCTCCTTATTCTGTACTCACCCCTGAAGATGTGATTTACACGAAAGCGGATTGAGCTGGTTGGGCTTGACAGTAGGAGGAAGAGAGACAGTCATTAGACCGTGCAACTGGGAGTACAGGTGCAACAGCTCGGAGAGGATTTCGTGGACCTAAAGAGGGATTATCAGGCACGGGTGAACAGGTTCAGGTGGGAGCACCAGTCACACATTCAACGGTTCAGGGAGGAAGCAAGAAGGGAGCATCAGGCACACATCCAGCAGTTAAGGGAGAAATTAAGGGGGGAGTGTCAGGCCCAAGTGGGAAAATGGAGGGGGAACACCGATAACATCTAGCTCAGAAGGGAGATGCACCAGACAGGGTAGAAACACTGTAACAAACACAGCATGAAAAGAGACCATGGGCGAAGTGAAGAAACACCACTTTAGTAAGGGGCCGCATTGACCATTTCTAAGTTCGACAGTAAAGCAGGGACAGAGTTAGGTAAGTCGTTCAGAGAGTTCGATCGAGCCCTCAAGATGAGAGATGAAGTCGAAGCCTACCGATTACAGTTCAGGTGTGCATGGTAACGAGGGTGAGTTTGGAGGAGTCGTGAGTAGGGCAGAGAGAATAGGAGAGATAAGAACATAAGAACATAAGAATGGAGGAAACTGCAGCGGGCCTATTGGCCCATACTGGGCAGTCCCGTTTACACCCAACCCCTATTGCTCATATGAGCATCCAACCTATGTTTGAAGCAATTCAGCTTATTCGAGTTAATGATGATATTTGGTAACTTGTTCCATTCATCCACTACTCTGTTTCCAAACCAGTGTTTACCTATTTCACGCCTAAATCTAAATTTGTCTAATTTAAAACCATTGTTACGAGTTCGCTCCTGGTTGGATAATTTGAGTACCTTTGTAATGTCCCCTTTGTTTAGCCCTGCCTTCCACTTATACACCTCTATCAGGTCGCCCCTCGCTCTACGTCTCTCGAGGGAGTGCAAATTAAGATGCTTTAACCTGTCTCTATACTCAAGGTTCCTAATGCCCGGGATTAGTCTTGTCATTCTCCTCTGAATTCTTTCCAAGGATTCTATATCCATTCTGTAACACGGTGACCAGAACTGAACTGCGTAATCCAGGTGTGGTCTCACAAGAGCAAGATACAGTTTTAGGATGACCTCGCTAGTCTTGTAACTAACACTCCTTTGTATGAACCCAAGTACTTTATTAGCCTTGTTACGAGCAAAAACACATTGTTTACTTGGCTTAAGGTTCCTACTTATCATTACTCCTAAATCTCTCTCGCAGTCGGATTTCTCTATGGCATCGTTGTTCATCTGGTATCTGGTTTCCCTGTTTACATCTCCTATACTGAGTACTTTACATTTGTCCACGTTGAATTTCATCTGCCATTTTTCAGACCATTCGAAAAATTTGTTTAGATCTTCCTGTAGTTTTGCCGAGTCCTCGTCAGATTTGATAACACGTCCTATTTTAGTGTCATCAGCAAATTTACTTATGTTGCTGTCTATGCCGATATCTATGTCGTTTATGTATATAATATACAATAATGGTCCAAGTACTGAGCCTTGGGGAACTCCACTTGTGACGTTGCTCCAATGGGACTTAGTGCCGTTAATGCTCACTCGCTGTTTCCTGTCCTGTAACCACGCCCTAATCCATTTAAGGATGTCACCTTTGATGCCATGAGCTTCTACCTTTCTAATTAGTCTTTCGTGGGGGACTCTGTCGAAGGCTTTGCTAAAGTCGAGATATACCACATCATAATTGTGCCCCTCGTCCACCGATTCGAAAACTGATGAAAAGAATGTTAATAGATTAGTTAGGCAAGAACGTCCGCTTGTGAAGCCATGCTGGGAATCATTGATCAATCTGTGCTTCTCCAGGTGATTTC